TGTGTGTGTGTGTATGGTAAAATCAACTTTGCCCTGCTTTGGACAAGGTCAGGGGATACTCCAAAGTTTCTCATATTTAATCGTTATGTTTTAATATGTTTTCGATAGGCTATCTTTATAGTTTGAAATGGTTTAAACTGTTATTTTAATGTTATTTATAAGCTGCCCATATACATAAGGTGGTCGCAGTCGTGCAGTGGTTAAACTGCTAAGCTGCATAACTTGCTGACCAAAAGGTCAGCAGTTTGAATCCGTGAGACGAGGTGAGACAAGGACCTAGAGATTCTTAGGGAGAATCAAATCTGTGAATAGTAAAACTAGGAAAAGTTAAATCAGCAAATGTGGAGTCCCGGTAACACAGCGGGTTAAACTGCTGAGCTGCTCAACTTGCTGACCAAAAGGTCGGCAGTTCAAATTCGGGGAGCGGAGTGAGCTCCCGCTGTTAGGCCCAGCTTCTGCCAACTTAGCAGTTTGAAAAAACGCAAATGTGAGTAGATCTATAGCTACCACTCCGGCGGGAAGGTAGTGGTGCTCCATGCAATCATGCCAGCCACATGACCTTGGAGGTGTCAATGGACAATGCTGGCTCTTTGGTTTAGAAATAGAGATGAGCACCCCTCAGAGTTGAACATGTCTAGACTTAATGTCAAAGGGAAACCTTTACCATTATAACCAATGAGATACTTTAAGGTAACCTGAATTCAGGTAACATAGAACTGGTATAGGTTAGGTTTTATGGTATCCATTGCCCTCTTGTGGAAAGGACCAATGTCTCCAAAGTGTCACTAAAAGAAAATAGTCCAACATTAATTAATTCCCTGCAGCTATTTCAAAGTTTTGACAACAATTTGGAAATGCATCATTAAACTCATTACTCTTAGTATTATTTCTATGTAGCAACCCGGGGATCTCATCACTTTAACTTAATGCAGGTCATGTTTAGTCACTTAAAATGTTTTTAATAACAATTTAATAACTTAATGAAGAAATTAATTTATACATTCTTAATATTTTAATGCTAATTAATTTCCCCTCTTTAATGGCTTGATGTTAGGGATGTTAAATCTTTAATTATTTCAGTCTTGAACGCAAAAATGAATAATAGCAACAATTGTCTCTGTGTTGGGGGAGAAAGCAGGAAAACTGTCTAGTTTTTGAGGATTATTCAGGGTTCAGAAAAGGAAGGTGGTATTGCACAGAAAATTGGGTTTTCCTCCTTAGCAGGAAGCAGGGAAGCTTCCTATGTATTCCTCTGTATTGTTTTCAAGTAAATTATATTAATGTATTTTTAACTATATATTATCTTTTTAAATGTGGTCTTATTTTTTTCAAATATTGTGAACAGTTCAATTCTATTTTAATGTTCAACTTTTGGCATTTTTTCAGTATGGTAGGCTTTTGGTATCGACTGACGCTGAATACCAAAATCTGTAGATGCTCAAGTCCCATTATATACAGTGGTATAGTAAGATGGAGTCCCTTATGTAAACCTGCGAAATCAAGGTTTGCTTTTTGAAAGTCTTTTGGGAATATTTTCAAACCATAGATTGTTGTATCTGTGAATGCAGAATCTATGGATACGGAGAATAGACTGTATTGTTCTTTTTTTTTAAAGGACTACAAATCCCCTTGAGACCCAAACTTAAGAAAAAGGCAGGATATGATACTACTACTACTACTACTACGGATAGAAAAAAATGTTTTCTGTACATATAGCCAGGTGTTTGCGTACTGACAGATTCACGTACAAACACAAAAATTCCGTACTGTGAAGAATATGATTGTGTTGTCAGAGGCTTTCATAGCTGCAATCACTGGGTTGCTGTGAGTTTTCCAAGTTGGTTGGCCATGTTCCCAAAGCATTCTCTCCTGATGTTTCTCCCACATCTATGGCAAGCATCCTCAGAGGTTGTGAGGTCTGTTGGAAACTAGGCAAGTGGGGTTTATATATCTGTGGAATATCCAGGAAACAATCAGGGTGAAAACCATGAAAATGAACAAAATCTGGCTACCAGTATTAAAAAACTCTAAAATCAGGACAGTAAAAAAATACTCAAAAACGGGAATTCCAGACAAGAATCAATCAGGGCCAGCTAACACCTCCCAACAAAGGATCCCCAGGCAGGAAGCAGCCAGACTTTGAAGCAGCCAATTAAGGTAGCCAATTGCAACATTCACACTTGCCTCTAACAGACAAGAGTTCTTTCTCCCATCCTGGACATTTCACAGATATATAAACCTCACTTGCTTAGTTTCCAACAGACTTCTGGGGATGCCTGCCATACATGTGGGTGAAATGTCAGGAGAGAATGCTTTGGGAACATGGCCATACAGCCCGGAAAACTTACAGCAACTAAGAATATGATTGTTTCCAAATTCACTCAGTGGGAAGTCTTGAAAACCAAAAACACCCCTTTGCATCAAGGATGAGAAAACAGACAACCATTCTTCACACTTGAATGCTAACACATTAGCACCAACCCTTGCATGGTTGAACTCTGATGGTTCAAAGCTGGGCAGGGTGAAGATATACTTGCACATTTGGGATTTGAGGCTGCAGGTTAAAATCGTGCATATTCATCATTCTGAAAAGTGGTGCCCAACATCCCAAGCAAGCTGCGGGGGCGCTCCAGTTCTGGTTGTACCTGGAAAATGTATTCAGAAGGGCGAACTAAAAAGACCTTTCTTCAAAGTGGCATTAATTCCTGCTATGATCATTCAAATTGGATAATTAGAGCATAGCAGATCAGCCTGAAAGCTAAACAGGCTGAAGAGCTCTGAGATGGAGGGGAAGGTTTGTTGCCAGAGAATCCATTCCTGGGTCTGCACTGATTAAGTACAACGTTTTTGTTGGGAAATCAAAGGAATAAATAAATAAGTCTGGATGTCTGAGGGTAGACACATTTCTGCACTGCTATAGAACATCACTTCGAAGCAGCAGGACTATCCAGAGCATATATAAAGAGGCTAAATGAATTTTTCTCATCTATATGTGTGTGTGTGTGGCCAGTAGGGTTGGATAGCTTTACTTGGATGTGGTCTAAATCGGAAAAAAATGATGTTTTTGCCTTCCGAAGGGACTTACGCCACATTTCCGTGAGGCTGTAGTCCCCTATAGTTCTGACTTGCCTTGCACGATTGATTTCAGGGATGCAGAAGTGAGTTGGAAATATGATGAAGCATTTTTAATGCAACTAAGCCTGTTGGGAGACGAAGCCTCCCTGCCAATCAGGGGTTACGTTTTGGGGAGGGGAGGGGTTTGCAGCGTCCAGCAGCCATTGCTGTATAAACCCATGCACATGGCTGGAAGACTCATTGGCAGCCAAAGAAAGGAGAGGGCAGCCTGAACCATTGTTGTTGCTGCTGCTTGTTGCTGTTGGGTGTGGGGTGGAAGAAAGGGTTTGGAGCCAGTGGAAAGAAGTTTTGGAAAATGGAGGAAGGCATGGCAGAAGGGAAAATTTTGAGAGAGGGTTTGGAGCTAGAGAAGAGAGAAAGAAGGAAATGTTTGTTTGTGAGGTGGGGAGAGAGTGAAATTAATAAAGTCATTTCTGGAATTTCCTTTTTTGCTCACCACTAAAGCTTTGCTATTTTTATTAGGGTCTCCCCCTTTTTTTCTGGGGTCTATATTTTTAACATGTCCTAACAGTCCTGTTCCAAAGAAGAAGGAAAGGTGTGTTTGGGAGGGAGGGAGGGAGAGGGTGAAATTAATAAAATAATTTCTGGAAACCTCTTTATTGCTTACATGTCCTAACATGTTTAAATTTGGTATACTAACAGAGGAGGATGTGTTGTAGCGGTATATCAAGTTTCATCAAGATTGGTGTAAAAATGAGAGAGAAGGCCCTGGAGTTTTCCATGTATTGTGCAATCGCATCTGCCATTAATGAAGTAAGAAGCCGCCAGTGGCGCAGTGGGTTAAACCCTTGTGCCGGCAGGACTGAAGACCGACAGGTCGCAGGTTCGAATCAGGGGAGAGCGCGGATGAGTTCCCTCTATCAGCTCCAGCTCCTCATGCGGGGACATGAGAGAAGCCTCCCACAAGGATGATAAAACATCAAAAACATCCGGGCATCCCCTGGGCAACATCCTTGCAGACAGCCAATTCCCTCACACCAGAAGCGACTTGCTCCTGACACGACAAAATTTTTTAACAAAGTGATTCGGAAGTTTCGGAAAATTCTGACTTTTTTTTTGGAAAAATTCGGAAATGACTTTAGAATCGAACAACCAGCGCCCCCTAGATCTGAAACGAGTTTTGAACCAATTTATTTTGGATCAACCAAGCCTAGTAACCAGAGATTTTAAAAAACCTCATCGTATATGTTACTATTTTAGAAATGAGTATAAAGCAAATAAATGTATCTGAAATGGAAGAACAGTATAATCCAACCCCTGTATCTGTAGGGGATATGTTTCAAGACAACTCATATGAGCACAATCCAACTCTAAGGCCCCTTCTACACTCCTATATAAAATCCTGATTATCTGCTTTGATAATCAGGATTATACGGCAGTGTAGAAGGGGGCTTAGAGTTGGGTTATGCCTCACAAGTTCCATCTATTTCAATGGGTCTCTTCTACAAAGGACTAACACTGGAGATTTTTTTCCCCGTGTCATGAGCAACTTGAGAAAGTCTCCCCAGATTGAAGCACCCAGTGGTGCAATGGGTTGTGCTGGCAGGACTGAAGATCGTCAGTTCGGAAGTTCAAATTCGTGGAGAGTGCGGATGAGCTCCCTCTGTCAGCTCCAGCTCCCCATGCGGGGACACGAGAGAAGCCTCCCACAAGGATAGTAAAACATAAAAAAAATCCGGGCGTCCCCTTGCAGACGGCCAATTCCTTCACACCAGAAGCAACACTGCAGTTAGCTATATGCTTTTGGAAAGGTAGTGGACTCCAGTATAGAAATCCAAGCTTCAGGTTGCACCTTCTATTTCCTTCCACTTCCATTTGTAAAGACATGCAACAAGACAACTAAATGAAGAACTCCTACACCAACAGAGGATGATCTCTTTTATTTCAGAATCACATACAAAAATTGAATATGAAGTAAGCCAGGTTCAGAATAGAAAGATAATACGAAATGATTGTCAGGTGAACATTGACATCCCAAGTCTGAGACTGATTCCCTTTTTAAAGAGCTCACAGTGCAATTATAATCATGTCTATTACAGTTGCTTTGTATTATACTTCCAAATTTCTTCATTTTCCCTTTAAGGCACAGTAAATTCAAATTTTAAAATATGAGGTGAAAAATATTTTTTGGCAGAAGTCAAGCATGAAAAGACTGTCCAGTGAGAACAAGTCAGTGAATATCAACACTTACTGCATATTATAACTATTTGGAGACTTTACAGCTGGATTGTAAACATTTAACCTGTTCTGTTCCTTGCATCTCTTCGATGAAACTCACAAAGTTAAACATGGGTTTGCTCTATTTTATCAAGCCATGTTAGGTAAATCTTGAAGAAAGGTTCAGTTCAAAGTGCACCAAACCATAATTTGTGCTAACATGGCTGAGGATAGCCTGAATGTCCAGATATTAAATATACTATGCTTGATTGTACAGTAGAGTCTCGCTTATCCAACATAAATGGGCCAGCACAACATTGGATAAGTGAAAATGTTGGATAATAAGGAGGGAGTAAGGAAACGCCTATTAAATGTAAAATTACATTATTATTTTACAAATTAAGCACCAAAACATCAAAATTTACAACAAATCGACAGAAAAAGCAGTTCAATACATGGTAACGTTATGTAGCAATTACTGTATTTATGAATTTAGCACCAAAACATTGCAATGTATTGAAACAGCTGTGGATCCGGGCAGGAGGTAGACTGCGTTGGATAATACAGAATGTTGGATGAGTGAAGGTTGGATAAGCGAGACTCTACTTTATTTCCAAGCCCTTTTCTTTCATGGATAATAACCTCAAGAGATAGAACCAATGTCATTTTAATTTGTCACAATGCCAAACTATAATTAGCACCTATCACATACCATCCATGGCTTTTCAAGCTGTCCCACAAAACCACAGTTCAGCAAAAGTTAAGAGTGATATTTACCTTCAATCACAGTGGCTAAGATCATCCCACAAGTGCTATGCTTGAGCACCTATAGAACTCACATCTACATGGTCTTCATCCACAGCTCTTTCCACAGCACACTGCCTTTAATATCCTTTTGAACCTGCACCATATATTTCATGTCTCTTGAATTCTTTGAGAAAAACTGATTCTTTAAAGCTGCAAAAAGCTGAAGTTGAATTCTTTGAATTACAATCATAATTTGCTCCATGTTTATGATGGACGCTTGCTTCCTGGGAAGGTATCACATGAAATTCATACCAATTTCTATTGAGCAATTGGGGTGGAAGCCACTGCTATGCTTTCTATTGCACATTCATCCGTGCCTCTATGGATCCTGAAGAAACCCTGCTCACCCCAAGCTGGTCCCCAGCTGTTCTTACATATCCAGAAGGGCTCCCCGGTCTCTGGATCACTACCATAACCCACCAGGAGGACAGCGTGATTGGTCAATTCAAAAGGATTGAATGGATCCATCAGCCCCGTGTGATGATAGATCCCCCCTTTGTAATGCAGGAAGTCATTATATACTTCAAATGCAACGGCCATGGGTCCATGCCTCACAAGTTCCAGTTTCATTAGAGCTTCATTGCACCCACCATAAAACCCACCAACATAATAGTAGTCAGCCACATAATAGTGGTAACAGCTGTGGTTAAAATTGCAAGGGGAATCCGTGGCTGTGTAAGGGAAGCAGTCCTCTTCAACCACACCAAAATCCTGAGCGTATTTGCCAGCAATTAGGTAAGGAAAGCCTCCATCACAACCTGAAAAAAAGGTGTAACATTTATTATCATTATTGTTGTTATACTGATACAGAAACACAGTATGACACAGCAAACGAGATGTATATGCTGGATTTCTGGGCATGTGAGACATTTCAACCACAAGTCAAACACTTCCCAAGTGTTTAGGACTGTATTTTTGAATGATGTGCGCAGATCCAAGTAAGGTGGCCTTTTGCAGTTGACAGATTGTGATTTTGTCGATGTTTATTGTTTGCAAATGCCGGCTGAGATCTTTTGGCACAGCACTCAGTGTGCCCATGACCACTGGGACCACCTGGACTGGTTTATGCCAGAGCCTTTGCAGTTCGATTTTGAGGTCCTGATAACGGCTGAGTTTTTCCTGTTGTTTTTCGTCAATTTGACTGTCACCAATAATCCAAAATTTTTCATTTCCACAATTGTGAGGTCTGTGTATTGTGTTCCAAAACTTTGTCGGTCTGGATTCGAAAGTCCCACAGTATTTTTGCATGTATTATTATTATTTGAAACACAACAATTATTATTATTATTATTATTATTATTATTATTATTATTATTATTATTATTGGGTGTTGGAGCACTATTGAGTGCTTTTTATGAGACACCCTGAGTACCTCCGGGGAGATGATGGCAAGATATAAATAAATAATATTAATTTTTATTAAATTACTTTCAGGATGGGAGTATAAGATGTATATGAAACATCAATGAATTACATGTATAGACTTGGGTGCTTTCTCTAAGATATCTTATTTGGTTAGGTTTTCCCCTGACATTAAGTCCAGTCATGTCCAACTCTGGTGCTCATCTCCATTTCTAAGCCGGAGAGGACTGAAGACCAACAGACTGAAGGTTCGAATCCAGGGAGAGCATGGATGAGCTCCCTCTATCAGCTCCAGCTCCTTATGCAGGGACATGAGAAAAGTCTCCCACAAGGATGGTAAAAACATCAAAACATCCGGGAATCCCCTGGGCAACGTCCTTGCAGATGGCCAATTCTCTCAGACCAGAAACGACTTGCAGTTTCTCAAGTCGCTCCTGACACGACAATAAATAAATAAATAAATAAGCTGTAGAGCTGCCATTGTCCCTAGACACCTCCAAGGTCATGTGGCTTGCATGACTGCATGGTTGGGCCATTAACTTCCTGTCAGAGCGGTACCTATTGATTTACTTTATTTGCATGTTTTCAAACTGCTAGGTTGGCAGAAGCTGGGGCTAACAGCAGTAGCTCACACTGCTCCCGATTCAAACCTGCGACCTTTTGGTAAGCAAGTACAGCCACTCAGCAGTTTAATCCACTGCACTACCGGGGCCTTCGATATCTCATTATACATGTATATACACAAAGAGGTATTCCAAAATCTGAAATCCAAAACACCTCTGGTCCGAAGCATTTCAGATCAGGGGCACCCAACCTGTAATACATATTGCATTTCTTTTCCCAGAAAGTTGCTGTAGTAGAGAAGACAGGACACCCAGCCCAGAAAATCCTCCATTCTCTCAGCAATCACATCCTAAAACATGGGAAATTGTGGAAGGGTAGAGTGCCACATTAGCACCTCAGGACATCTTGAGGACTGTAACCACCATACTGCACCTGTTTCCACAAAAATAAATTAGTTGTTTTTTTCTCTAAATGCCAAAATCTCCTTTAGAGGACATGGGGAT